TTTGAGTCGCTGATAAAGAAACAGACCTCCGCCCTTCTCTTCCTGTGGAGCAAAATGTCTCAAACCTGCAGCGTCCCTCCCTACTGAGGGCGGAAACTCTGCCGGTCACTTTCATAATAAAAGCACAATAAAATACTCCTGAAGTATTTCAACCTATTTCTACAGTCATTGATTTAAAGCCATATATTCTAACCAGTTTCGGTGATAAATTAAACATCTCTTAATTTTGTAATATTTCTCAATAAATTAATAACATTTTTTTCTTTTCTTTGTCAGAAGTGTCAAAGTTAATTTGGAGATCTGTGAGGTGAAAGTCAGTAACAAAAACTCGCCTCGGTTGTATAAAGTTGGATCCAACTGTTGTCCATGGGATTTATGGTTTCCCTTCCTAATCCTTAAAGGCTCGCAGGTGAAAGTGATCAACACAGGTGAATACAACACTCAAACTAACGCCTCAGCACCACGAGGAGAAGAAAGCAACCTGAATGCGAAGATGAAAGAAGATGAAAGAGGCAAACAGCTTATTTTTACAGCTATATAACACTGCTGTTAGTGTGAGCGTAACATCAGGTACCAATTTAATAACGTCATAATCAGGAAAATCCTCAGGAACATGTAAAAAGAAAGAAGAGTTTATCAGAGGCGCTGTTTGAGGTTTTACTGCTTTATTGCTGCAGTCAAAACAATCCTCGCTGATACTGTATTTATATTATTAACATGACAATTCATGTTTTATATGTGCAATGAAGCAGAACAGCGACGCAACACGGCTTTATTTTGAAAGCACGGAATCGAGTTTCCTTAGAAAGTGAAAGTAACTCTAAAGTAGGCCTCGGTCCTATTGTCCCGCACTTATTGTAAAATGGTTTGTCTGTAGCCACATAACGTCTGTATTAAGAACTAAATTAGTCTTAAAGAATAAAAATTTGACAGCAACCCCGAGAACCCCCACCCCCACCCACCCACACACACACACACACGGGGCTCCACGGGGAGGTGTCTGACCTCCACGGGTGCCCGAAGTGTTGCAACCACGATCAGAGCAGTTTGAATTCTCACATAGGAAAGAAACCTATGTGCTCCTTAGGGACAGAATGTGTATGTAAATTCATACATATATGTATTTATATGTAAATATGTTTACCTATAAACATAAACATGTCTGTATTTCAGTTCATCCACACAGTGACTGCAGGGAGTGTTCAGGGTGAATTTAATATTTACAATAAGAAAAGCAATTAAACACAAGCCAAATCAAAACGATGCCACTAACTAGTGGGCGCGCCGTCAAAACCAAGTCAACTAAAGGTAAACTAGACAGTTCTAGAATGCAGCAGAACAGCTGTGGCAGTGGGGAGGAGAAAACTGGGCCGGAAAAGTACTATGAAGTGACCGGGGCGCTGTAATGAGAGGAGAGCACAGTCAGAGGGGTCCAGCAGTCAGTCAGCGATCCTTCACAGTTAAACTGAGTTGCCTTACTTGGTTTCAGGTGGAGGGGACAGGTGGGGCGCGAGGCCCGCATGAGGTCGAGGCGTGGGGAGGCAGGCAGGTGAGAGGTGGGCTAGTTGGCAACGTTGTACCAGCAGCTGGTGGCCCAGGTCCAGAAAAGCAGAGATAACTGAGGCAAGAAGCCCACTCCAGGAGCCAACTCTGAAGACAGGAACGTTTTCACACAGGATCTGGACACAGCAATTACACACCACTGACTAACATGGGATAGCAGATACTCAGGCGATGGCTGATTGAGTGTGCAGGTCTTATATGCTGCCGGAATAATTGGCCACAGGTGGTCAGCCAGGGAGGAGCAACCGATCTCCGCCCAAAGGAGGAGGGCTGCTGTTGGAAACCTGCAGGTACCCACCCAGACATGACAAAAGCCTCCTCTCCTGCCTGAATGTGTTCCTGTAAATCTTTGCACATAGGGCCTGTTCTGTGTCTGCTTCCTGTGGAGTCTGTTCATATCTTTTTATTTATTTTTTGCCATCAGCTTAATAATAATGAGAAGAAGGCTAGTGCCCTGTATTTGGGTCCTCTCCTCTCCCGTATCCATGACAGAAACATCTTTTCAAAATGTGTAAAGCAGTCTGTGATGCAGTGGAATTATAAATTATTATTAAAATTAATTTAAACTCTTTCAGAATGGATAAGTGACATAATGACTTCATGCGCTTGTTATTAATGAAACTGGCTGCTGAAGGACAGATGATGCTGTAAGACCTAAAATCCTTGTTTTTGTGGATGCTGAACTGTAACACTGTATCATATATGCTGTTCGCCTGTTATGGTCTGTGGTTTAGGTTCCAATGTTTTTGATTTGTCTTAGAGGTTTATTATTATTATTCCCCATCGATCTATCGATGTATCCATGTATCGATAGATAGATAGATAGATACATCAATAGATAGATAGTCCATGATGGAGAGCAGTCTGTTCAGTGACCTCTGACCTTTGCTGAATCAAACACTGGTCAGCTGTGGACCAGCTGTTTGGTCCTGGACAGCCATCCGAGCTGCCTCATTCACAGCCTCTTTCTATGTTCTAGTGCTTTTCATCTAACATTCACAAACATACTATGATGGGGAGCAACCTGAGAGCAGCTCAGAGCTGAGGCTCTGACTCATGCAAAGCTGCTCCAGAAGAATCAGAGGACAGAAAACAAGGAGATTTTTTTTATTTCTTTATTTATCCAGGTGAAAATCTCACCGAGATCAAAAATCTGTTACTGGTAGTTCAGCAGTTTCTTTTCACTAGAACACTGAACAGTTCAGAGTTCCTGCTCAGACAGAGGAGGCTGTTAAATAACACAAACATTCATGCTGCCGTGAGTTTATCTGCATGTGTTTCTCTCCTGCAGCAGGTCACAGTTTCTAACGCACAAACAACAAACCCAGGCTGATGACGCTTCACACAGAGTTACACGTCGCTGACATCTGTGGGACAGAATTCCTGCCTTCGAGCTTCTTAATGGTCTTCTGGATAAATTCTCTCTGACAAAATGCAAACAGAGCCACAGAAACCAGGGCAGCAGCTCCAAAAGCTCCGCCCACAGTGACCGCCACACCTGTCCATCCTGCAGAGTCAGGTGGGCTCCTGTGTCTGTAAAAAGGATTATTGATGGGCTCGCTGTCTTTCTCACTCACTGGGTCCTTCATCCTGCAGGAGAAAGTTCTCACATGGTGCAGCTCATTAACATTGAGGATCTCTATCTTCTTTTCTGACTCCTCCCACTCTCCATCGCCCATCTTCCAGTAGTAGGTGATGTCCTCAGTGTCTGCAGTGTGTCCATAGCAGTGCAGTAAACACCGAGAGGAGGCCTGACTGCAGGCCAGAGGTGTCACAAAGGCCTCAGGCTGGGGCACCTCATCCACGGCTGCAGCTCTGTAGAGCTCGCTCTGAGGCTCGTTGTTGATCTCCACTGAAAACACTCCAGCGTCCTCTGCAGACGCAGCGCTGACGCGCAGGCGTCCGGTCCCGGTGCTGAGCTCTGACCGGCCTCTCAACCCTCCGTAGTATCTCACCTCACTCTCTCCCTCCGCCCACTCGGCCAGCAGGTCGTTGTTGCGTTTCCACACCACGCTGGTGATGCGTTTAGTGACCGGCGGCACAGGCTGCAGAACCAGGGCGTCTCCAAGCCGAAAGTGTGCCTGAATAAGCCCGGGCTGGGAGAAGCAGGGCACGGCCAGGAGCAGCAAAGAGAGGAGGCAGAGATCAGCTGATCGCTCCATGTTCACAGATCAGAGCAGGAAAAACAGAGCGAGCACAGAAAGAGAGAAACTCTCGTCATATCCAGAAAAACACGGACATCAGCTCCCACCTCCACACCTGACACTGAGAATGAGCTCGTCCAGAATCCACAACAACAAATGAAGGAACAAACCGAAAGTAACTCTGGGTGCTTTCCGTCCGACCTCAGAGCTACAAAATACCGTAACCGGCCAACACAGCAGCTCAAACTATACTCACGGTCACATGACCTCATTTATTCACATTGTTTTATTTCACACTTCAAACTCCATCATTTAACGTTTTTCTTCTCCCGCACGCGCACACGCGTACACGACATACTAATATAAATATCATATTTGTATATCGTGTATATAAGCAGTGCAAACATTACTGTAAACAGGACAAGGTCAGCGACAGGACCACCTCGCCCTCAACAAGCACGCGCACTTCAGAGATAAGCAGCGTATCAGTGGGGGAATTCCGCAATGACGTCATCAGAGGAAAACCGCAGTAAGCTTTGGTGCTTTCCTCTCAAAACATAAACCAGACAGACTTCTTTTTCACTCGTGGAATTCTCGGGGTTTTTCTTTGGTTTCTCTAAGCATGCGCAGTCTGACGTCACGGTATATTTGCTGGGATGTCCACTTATGAATGAAGACTCAAAACTGCCGGGAGCTGCTGTCTCCACCTGTCAACTCCCACAACTTCTGCTTTTATACAGACGCTCACATCAGCAGGACTCCATGAACGACTATCAGCACCGGGCTCCTGTTTACTCCGAGTCCCTGTGGAAACGTGAATGTTTTCCACGTTCTGGCCGTGTGCGTTAAAGACAGGTGTGTAACACGGCGTGCTGCTGTGAGCTCAACATAAAGAGTGAAACGTCATGAAGCAGCACAGAAACCAAAGAAACCTCACAGGCTGCAGTGTCCTCCAGCCCACCCGACAAAAACATTTGAACTCTTTGTGGTTTTGCTGAACCCACTCTACCCCCCATCGCTCCACGCCACATTTCATAACGTCTAACCAGGAGAGCCACACGTGTCCTGTGCTGGCGTCATAACCGAGGACGAAGCCGATGAGCTGGCCGAGTGTGGCAGATGGAATAATTAACAGCAGAATAAAACAAGAATAAATCTTTAATTTTACAAACAATTTGCAGGTGCTGAGACACAAACCACAATAAAACAGATCATGAGGACACGTTTAAGATGAAAGAGGTCAGAAAAAAGAAGAAACAGTAATAAAGTTATTAAAAATAAAGAGAAATAAGGTTTCAGTTCTGACAGCGGAGCGGCAGTCTGGATTTCTGAGGCGTCGACTCCGCTTCGTTCTCCGACACTTTAGACCGGGACGGGAACTTCGTCTCCTTTTTGCCTTTCTTCTTCTGGAAAAGAGGAATGAAAACAAGCTTTAATGTGTATTGGTATTAAACACTTGACCTCTGACCCCCAGTCGCTGCTTCAGCAGCTTTTTCAGTAACAGCTGCACGGCTTCAAACTTCCCCCTCACCTTGAAGAAGGGGACCCGCTTGCTCTCGTTGAAGACGAGGTTCTCGTCGATGAAGGACGGCTCTGTGGCCAGACTCTCGTTGCACGTGCTCAGATCGTCCTCCAGCGAGTCCTGATGATGCAGCAGAGAAGAACGAGGTCAAAC